CCACCACACCCTGCCTGTCTGCAATATCTTTGATCCTTGTGCAAATATTCCCAAATGAAGTAAAACAGTCCCCTGCTTCCAGATACTTACATCAATAACATTCAAATGTGTCTCTTACATTGCAACTTTTGATTCTTTCAAAGGCTATAATTTTGGAATTAGAATTTCATATTCTACTTGTGGCAGGGTAGCATTTGAGAAGTACTTTAATGCCTTTGTTTTTTCTTCTTTGTGACAAAGTCTCACTCTATTGTCCAGACTAGTGTGCTGTGGTATCGGTGTCACTCATAGCAACCTCAAACTCCAGGATTCAAGTGATCCTCCTGTCTTAGCCTCCAGAGTAGCTGGAACTACAGGCACTCTCCACAATGCCCAGCTAATTTTTCTATTTTCAACAGAGACAGGGTTTCACTCTTGCTCAGACTGGTCTCAAATTGCTGATCTTTCTTAGCCTCAAGTGATCTTTCTTAGCCTCCCAGAGGGCTAGAATTATAGGCATAAGCCACCATGCCTGGCCTTCCCTTCCCTTTTTTTTTTTTTAAGATAGACTTTTTTAGAACAGTTCTAGATTCACAGCAAAATTGTGACAAGGTACAGGGGTTTTATATATAACCTCTGTTCTTATTACTATTTTTTTTTTTTTGAGACAGAGTCTTAAGCTGTGGCCCTGGGTAGAGTGCTGTGGCGTCTCAGTTCACAGTAACCTTAAACTCTTGGGCTTAAGCCATTCTCTTGCCTCAGCCTCCCAAGTAGCTGGGACTACAGGTGTCCACCACAACGCCTGGCTATTTTTTGGTTGTAGTTGTCATCATTGTTTGGCAGGCCCAGGCTGGATTCGAACCCGCCAGCTTCGGTGTACGTGGCTGGCACCCTGGCTGCTGAGCTACAGGCGCTGAGCATCTTATTTTTCTTCTACTCAAACTGTAGACTCAAACTATGATGAGGGAGCTTTTCCCCTCAAACCTCAGCTTTTCCCTCTCCAACTTTAAGATACTCAGGAAAATTTCTGGACTAAGAACCTAGAAATTTAAGAGGTACCAGGAATCCTGTTCTTAGGAAACTAGATGGGGGCCCACAGTGCTGAGAAGGGGGGAGTTAGTGACAGAGCCACACAGCCCAGCAGAGGATGCCCTGGAGACTGTGCCGTCTCCCAGGACACCCACCCTGTGGCTCCCGTCCTCTAGCCCCTACCCATTGTTACTGGGTGAGGAGACTAAGGACACATGGGAGACACTACTTTGGGACCAGAAACATCAAGATAATTTTGTGTCCTGGCCGCAGTCTCCGCTAAAAGAAAGGAAGTGGGAAAGACAGTAGAACCGAGAGAATGGGGAACTCAGAGTTTCCTGAGATCAATGAAAAAATGGGTCACTTTTGAAAGAAAAGGTCTTCTTTTCCTTTTTGTTTTTACTTTTTTAAAGTACAGCATATAACTTTGAAGAAAATATTTTTTTGTATGATATGCTTTCATGAAGAAGATGTTGTCTTATTTATATGGGTTCCAAATAAAATTATCTTTTAAAAGATGACCTTTTTAAAAGGTGATGTTTTTATGAGTAAAAAGCAGAGTAAATATGTCATATGTGTGGGTCAGGGACTAATCGTTATGCATGAGTCTCCCCCTTTCAGGTCCTTGTCCTGGCTGGAAACAGAGAAGTGGAAATGACCCTATGAAGTCCGTCTAAGAACCCACACCCTGTCAAACTTGTTAGAAGTGAAAATCTTGGGTCGATCAGCCACAGTGAAGACCAAGACCCATTGGGGAGGGGCAGCCTTTAGACAATCTAAAGTGACTGTTTAAGGAGAAAGAAAAACCGAAAATGTTGACATAAAAAATTAACAAATGATTTTTTTTAAGTTTATTATGGAAATTTTCAAAAATCTGTTAAAGCAGGGAGACTAACATAATGAAGCTTTATTTACCCATTGCTTAGTTTCAGCAATTATCAACCTACTGCTATACCCTTCTCATCTCCTTCTCAAACCAGATTATTTAGAAGCAAATCCCAACCATTTTATCATTCTAAACAAAAATGTGTAACGGGCTTGGCGCCCATAGCACAGTGGTTACAGCGCCAGCCACATATACCAGGGGTGGTGGGTTTGAACCCAGCCCCGGCCAACTAAACAACTGCAACAAAAAAATAGCCGGGTGTTGTGGCGGACGCCTGTAGTCCCAGCTACCTGGGAGGCTGAGGCGAGAGAATCACTTAAGCCCAACAGTTAGAGGTTGCTGTGAACTGTGACAGCACAGCACTCTACTGAGGGTGACATACTGAGACTCTGTCTCAAAAAAAAAAAAGTGTAGTATGTGTCTCTAAAAGAAATGGACTAAAGGGAAGAACTCTGATTATTTACAAATCTTGATCTTGTTTCCCCTTCACTCCTTATCTATTACAGGGGTATGAGTTAGGAAATGACTTCTAGACCTAATTTGTCACTCACCAACTGCGTGACCAGCAGCAAGTCATTTAATCTTCTTGGACTTACATTGTTATCTGAGTAGGTGAACTAGATAATTTCTGAGGTCCCTCCCAATTCTAGAAATTGAAAATTCTTGCAAGTGCCGTCCTTTGGGCCTCCAGAGACATGGATTTGGTGCAGGATCTACGTGCTACTTATTTGTTGGTGCAGGGCCCACTTTAGAGACAAGACCCTGAATGTGCCAAGACCTTTTCTTGGCTCTTCATTGAGAGGCTAGAAGTTGCTAAGTGCTGGAATCTTTAACTTCTGAGTTTTTTTTTTTTTAAAGAAATGAATCGGCCTGGTGACTTCTGCCTAAAATCCCAGTACTTTGAGAATATAAGGGTGGAGCATCTCCTGAGGCCAGGAGTTTGAGACCAGCCTGAGCAACACAGTAATGCTCTGTATCTACAAAAAAAAAAAAAAAGAAGAAGAAGAAAGAAAGAAAAAAAGTTGGCTGGGTGTGGTGGCACACACTTCTGTAGTCTCAGCTGTTCAGGAGGTGGAAGAGAAAAGATCACTTGAGTCCATGAGTTCGAGGCTGCAGTGAGCTATGATTGAGCCACTCAGCACACTCCAGCCTGGGCAACGGAGTGAGACATTGTCTCAGATGAAAAAAGAAAAAAAGAAAAAAGAAAGACATGTATATTGTAGAAGTTGAAGTTTAGGGAAATTCACAGGAAAGATGTCGATCCTATTTGCTTAATGGAGGAATCCTTGAGCAAGAAGATGGTGCCCAGCCCAGAGGAGTGCTGCCAGTACGCCCCTTCCAGCGTGTGCCATGTGATTTAAGGACACCATGGTTAGAGCTACAATGGTGAACGCATGAAGAGTAAGTGCAGGACGCGGGCTGGGACCCAGGACTTCTGATCACTGCATGCATTTGACCTGCTCCTCTGAGCTTGAATAGGATGAAGGAAAGGAGACTACAGGAAGACTATTCGCAAGAAACCGTTGGTTGCCAATGCAGCGGGAGAAGAGCAAATGCTTACACAGACTGCGAATGTTTTGAAACATGACCTAGGGAAGGAAAAAAACGAAGTTCTTACATGGAAAATGTCCCCCAAATGACCATTTAAAGTACAAGCTCTAATCTGCTCTGAGGGTTTGCAGGAAACTTACTGATGCTATTGTCTTGGTGCCAGGGTTCTAAATTGGGGGTTAGGATTAAAAGGGACCAAATATGACAGCCGATATTTGAAACTGAAGTCAATGCTCCTTAGTGGACAGCTCGCTGGGCTGGGGAGTGCTGGGGTTGTTTGCTGCACTTGGAAGAGTGCAGACGTCTCCCTGGGCTGCAGGATGCACTTCTGGCTGGTTCCCAGGGGCTGCTGAAGGTCAAAATATGCACTCTTTGTGTCTCTGTGCCACAGCATTTAGATTCTGAGGCCCTCTCCTGAGCAGGAAATGGTAAAGGAATCAGCAGGAAGCCTAAAACAAGGGAAAGGAAACTCCTCCCTCCTATCAAGGGACAGGCAAGGGTGAGGATGAAAATGGAAAGTGGGCATATGCGTTAAATGTCTGGGGCGGCAGGGGAGTGGATGAAATGGAGAGTACTTGAACCTTGAAAGGAAGTAAGGAAAAAATTACATGCACCAAGGGCAAGGATATGTGATCAACTGGTATTTATTGTGTGACTTTAATACGGAGACTTCGTCCTCCAGAAATCTGCCCCAGGCCCAGGACCAGGAAAAATGTTCCTTTATTTACATGGGGCAGAGGTTTGTGTGTTTGCTGAGTTCTGGTAGCCCACTGAGAGAACAACCTCCCTCTGTTCCTAGATTTCTGGCTTATTCAGAGGACCCAAAAATCAAGTTGACAATTTTTAGCAGGAGAAAAGATGGAGGTTCAAATGGAATGGAATCACGAGAAATACTCCGTGTGAAGAAGCAGAGGCACGCAAAATAATTTTGCTGTGTTACAAGTTCTTTGCAACTGAAAACCTTCACTGTACGTTTGAGGTAGCGGGAGATCCAATGACTCGCCGGAGAAACTGAGTCCAGGATGAAGGAAACCGTTCATCTGAAATCCGACCACATAGTCTTGCAGACCAGAATTCAACTTTGAAGTTTTAACTTCTCAAGCTTGGCTCAGCAAGTTCCGCTGCGCCCTGATGAAAAAGAAAGGTAAGCACATCCTATGTGGAAGGGGCTCAGCCAGAAGGCAGCACCTCGCTCTCGTATCTCATCAATAATGCAGCAGCCTGTTACTGTGAGCAATCTCCTGTTTAGATTGTTACCTGAAGAAAGGAAAAACAAACCACCCTGCATGCTGACTCTACTGTTTTGGTGGGAAAAAAAGTTCTAACAGGCAAGTGGCAAACAACTGAACTTTTGAGAAAGCAGGCCTAGGAGAGTCCAGAGCAGTTTCATAACGGGTATGCATAGCTATTTTGCAGCCTCCCCCTCACCCCCTCTTTGGGTTTTGATGTGGATCTCTTACTATTTGTTCAGGAAGTCGTGACGTGTGTTCTGGGCAGGGTTTGAGGTTTTGGAGCCTTTTCTAAAAGGGCCAGAGAGCACCCTGCTACACTTCCTAATCGTGAGGTTGGTGTGCGGCCGGCAGGGCCCAGAGAGCTGGTGATGATGCAGTGGCTTCTCAAGTGCAGGGGGCTGGTCCTGGCTTTTGCCCTCATCCTGGTTTTGGGATCCTCTGTTCAAGGTAAGACTTGGGAATCTCGCTCCCCTGTAACCTTCTTAGTAGGTCCCCAGAGTCCATGCAAGTGATTATAAAGTACAAAATGTAGAATATTGAGGGAAAGGAGGCAAAGAAGAAGGATTTGGGGTGGCTGACCTCCTTAGTGTGAGATCAGTTCAATACCAGGAAAAATTAAACTTTGAGGCAGGTAGGGTCTTGTAAACTCTTACAGTGATGGAAGTGTGCTGTTTTATTTTTTGGATGAAAATATGTGGTTTATACATTTTAAAATTCAAATTAATATAAATTAACATTTTAAATTTATAAAATATAAATTAAATTTATACATTTAAAAAATTCCTCCAGAAAGGAATATAGAAAATGACCCACGTATCTGACTCATGGAGGAGATGGCACGTTTGAGTGTTTTCTAGAATCTACCCACCCCTAGTGTCTGTATCAGCCCCTAATTTTAATACATTCTGATGGACTTATTCTTTTAATGCCAGGGGATGCTATTTTTTTTAATTGGGGTAAATTTGTGCCTATTCTTTTCTTTTTCAACTTGGTTCTTACTGAAAATTCAATTATGGTTAGACATAATTAATACTAACACTCTCAGAATTTAAAGAGAAGCCAAAGAATGTTAGTCTGAGTGCTGTTGTTCTGTTGCTCAGAGAAACATCCCATTTGAAAATACCTTCTCAGGTTTCCCTATCATTTGGAGTTGTTTAGTCAGACTGAAACAACTTAAAACCTCCAATGACTAAGAAAATAAAAATGGTCGGTTTGTAGGAAAAATGTCATTTCTTCTTCTTTGGTAAGTAAGGAATTGTATCTAATAAGGCAGAAGTCATGGCCTGATAAACAGAAGGCAGAAGTTATAGAAGAAAAACATTACGTTCCCTCGGATGGTAAGGGAAATGTTGAGTCACAGTGACACGCATGTCCTGGATTTGTTGCTTCAAAGTGACTTCTAGTTGTCATGATCTTACTTCCTATGGAAATGAGATCTTGCCACTGATCTCAGAGACATCCATCTTGTATTAGATATGTATAGGTCAGGTGCAGTGGCTCACGCCTGTAATGAGGCACTCTGGGAGGCCCAGGTGAGAGGATCCTTTGAGCTCAGGAGTTCTAAACCAACCTGAGCAAAAAGGAGCCCCCATCTCTACTAAAAATAGAAAAACTAGCCAGGGCGGGCAACGTGGTGGGCACCTGGGATCCCAGCAACTTGGGAGACTGAGGCAGGAGGATTGCATGGACTCAGGAGTTTGAGGTGGGGGTGAGGTATGCTGACGCCACAGCACACTAGCCTGGACAACAGAGTGAGACTCTGTCTCTAAAAAAAGGAAATTTATAAATTCATTTTCTTGTAGTTATGTTAACATTGAATAAAAACAGCAAGTAAGGGTGGTGCCTGTGGCCCAGTGAGTAGGGCGCCAGCCCCATATACCAAGCCTGGTGGATTCAAACCCGGCCCCGGCCAAAATGCAACAAAAAATAGCTCGGCATTGTGGTGGGTGCCTGTAGTCCCAGCTACTCAGGAGGCTGAAGCAAGAGAATCGCCTAAGCCTAGTAGTTGGAGTTTGCTGTGAGCCATGACATCACAGCACTCTACTGAGGGTGACAAAGTGAGGTGCTGTTTCTAAAAAAAACAAAAAGCAAGTAAAATTGCTGAAAATTCATTAATCTATTTATTTCTAAAGTATAAAACATTGTTAATTGTCAGGAACTTACTTGGATCTTTGAGGGAAAATCTTCAGCTTGATGAAATAATTCCCTAATAAGTATATACTCTGGCAAGATTGAGCGTAGTGAGGTTCATACTCATAGCACAGACTTGAGTGACCAGGGGTTGTAGTTCATACTCGTAGCACAGACTTGAGTGACCAGGGGTTGTAGTTCATACTCGTAGCACAGACTTGAGTGACCAGGGGTTGTTGGCACACCCCAATCAGAGCTACGTAAGTCTCTGTATTCTCAAAATTTCTCAGAAATGCTACATTTTCCACTATGATTGATTAAATAAAGCTAGAATGAAAACAAAAAAGTTTCTTGTGTAGTATATATTTATTAGAAAGAAATGAAGAAGAAAAGCAATCATCGTGAAATCATATAAAATACCAGCAGTTGTTATCACCTGGGAGATGGAGCTCTCTGTTAGAAAAAGAAAGCAAAAAAGGAGGCAATGAATAAACCGACAATCTAGGGTGTTTCCAAGGAACATAACTTGGAATTGAAGTCAAGGGTTTGTGCCCACCTCCGAAAGTGAAGGGAAATAGATGCCCACCTCCGGCTGCTTGTTTGAATGATTGTAATGCAAAGACTACTATACCACGTCATTGTCCCCCCACATGACGCCAGAGGTGATCTGGATGAAATTCTTCCTTCATCTTTTAAAAAATGTTTACTGAAACCATCGGTTTGACTGATCAAATTAACTAGGCTTTTGGCTGGATTTTACTGAGCATATTCAAAACGATCTTAGTTACTGGATTAGTCTGCCCAGGCTGCCAGAACAAAGCACCACAGACTGTGTGGCTTAAACAACAGAAATTTATTTCCTCACGGTTCTGGAGATGAGAGTCCACAATCAAGGTGTTGGCAGGGCTGGCTTCATCCTGAGGCTGCTCTCAGCTTATAGACGCCTCTTCTGCCTTGTCTTCACATGGCCTTTCCTCCACACCTCTGTGTCCTAACACCCCTTTGTTATAGACACTGGTCATTGGATAAGGGCCACCCTAATGACCTCATCTTAACTAATTACATCTGCAATGACCCTCTTTCCAAATAATCTCACACTGTGTGGTGCTCCAGGTTAGAACTTCAACACATGAAGTGTATTTTTACTATAAGTCAAAGCCAAGTAGGCCAGCCATGGTGGCTCATGCCTGTAATTCTAGCGCTTTGGGAGGCTGAGGCAGGTGAATCCCTTGAGTTCAGGAATTAGAGACCAGCCTGAGCAGGAGGGAGACCTCATCTCTACTAAAAATCAAAAAAGCTTTCCGGACGTGGTGGCAGGTCCGTGCATGTGAGCACAGGCGTGTAGTCCCAGCTACTCAGGAGGCTGAGGTAGGAGGATTGCTTAAGTCCAGGAGTTTTAGATTGCTGCAAGCAATGATGCCACTAAACTCTAGCTGGAGGTGATGGAGCAAGACTTTGTCTTTCAAAAAAAAAAAAAAGAAAGAAAAGCCAAGGAAATACATGGGGTAAAACTGTATCTGCTAAGCACCAAGAAATGGAAATTGGGGATTTATGGGAAAACTGGAGAGCACAGATGGCTTAATCTATTTAATGTGGAGCTCAGGAGATTATTAATGAGGCCTGTGAATCCTACACTCTGCTTGTCTATCTTTTTCAAAGATAGAAAATGGAACTCCAGGTTAGCACTTGTGGTTCAGTGGGTAGGGCGCTGGCTCCATATACTGAGGGTGGCAGGTTCAAACCCAGCCCTAGCCAAACTGCAACAAAAAATAGCCGGGCGCTGTGGTGGGTGCCTGTGGTCTCAGCTACTTGAGAGGCTGAGGCAAGAGAATTGCCTAAGCCCAGGAGTTGAAAGTTGCTGTGAGTTGTGATGCCACGGCACTCTACTGAGGGCAACAAAGTGAGACTCTGTTTTTAAAAAAAAAGAAAAAGGGCTCGGCGCCTATGGCTCAACCGGCTAAGGCGCCAGCCACGTACACCTAAGGTGGCGGGTTCGAATCCCCAGCCCGGACCCGCCAAACAACAATGACGGCTGCAACCCAAAAATAGCCGGGCGTTGTGGCGGGCGCCTGTGATCCCAGCTACTTGGGAGGCAGAGGCAGGAGACTGGCTTGAGCCCAGGAGTTGGAGGTTGCTGTGAGCTGTAATGCCACGGCACTCTACCCAGGGGGACAGCTTGAGGCTCTGTCTCAAAAAAAAAAAAAAGAAAAAGAAAATGGAACTACACAATCAGGCGTGGCCAAGGAAGCCACGGCCAGACCACCTTGTCTTCTCGACGCTGTCTCCTAGACCACAACACCATTGCGTGCTGCTGTTTGTAAACTGATTTCCACATCCGTTCTCTGGTAATCGTCCTCATCCTCCCTGGAAGTAGCCAATTAATAGAGGAGAAAACCAGATCTGACGTTCATCATCTCATTTGCTCTGCACATCAGCTTCTTAAAAAAAAATTTGTGAATCGGCTCAGCACCTGTAGCACAGTGGTTACGGCACTGGCCACATGCACTGACGGTGGTGGGTTCAAACTCGGCCCGGGCTAGCGTGGTGGGTTCAAACTCGGCCCGGGCTAGCTAAACAACAATGACAACTGCAACAACAACAACAAAAATAGCCAAGTGTTGTGGCAGGCACCTGTCGTCCCAGCTACTTGGGAGGCTGAGGCAAGAGAATCCCTTAAGCCCAACAGTTGGAGGTTGCTGTGAGCTGTGACGCCACGGCACTTTACCAAGGGCGATAAAGTGAGACCCTATCTCCAAAAAAAAAATTGTGAATCTTGCCCAAGGCTCATTACAACTAATTAATGGCAGAACTGGTCATCTGATTTCGAGGTCAGAATTAACTTTTTACTATAGCTTATGGATTAGAGGTTTTCTTCAATTAAAACAAAGAACCTTCCTTTGACTACAGCCCTTGCCAGGATGTTTCCCACTGAGTTGAGGGAGAAATTGAAAGTAAACTTACAGCTTTTTATAGCGCAGGGGTGGGGGAGCTTATGCATCTTGTAGGATTGAGAGGCTAGTGAGAAGTAACTCCAGATCAGACAGTGCTACCATTTTGAATGAATCAAAATGGACTTTTTAGAAAAAAAAAGAGAGGGGGAAAAAAAACGAAGGAAAGAAAAAGATTGTCTTTTTCTCCCCTTCATGGTAGTTAAAAATAGGAAATTAGTAAATTATGATTATGTTGGGGGAAAAACTGATACCATAATATAAAAAGATACAGAGAACCTTCTGGAGAAAGTTGTTTGTTCTGGTAACATTTACTCACAGGAAGTATTTTGGTAAAGCAGAACTTGGGAGTTGAGGGATGGTGGGAGA